GAAGAGTTAAAAGAGTCCTACACAGAATATTATTCTTTTTAGTCAAATCAAGAGTTTAAGACATGTCCTTCCCATTTTTGCTCCTCCTCCTAGCAATCCCCCTGGCCACTTTTGATCTATAACACCAAGCCTTCAAATCCGGATACAATCAGTACACATGCAAGATCTACATCCGGAGTTGATTTGAGAGAAGTTCTGATGTTCAAATATAAGATGTTCATTCTTGTATTGGTATCATGTCAATTCATTATAGTTGCCGGTTAGAAAACTTTTCTCACTTGAAGTGCTTCCAATATAAGATGTTTTTTGGTGTTGTGTGCAGGTCTATCAACCGACTGAGGAAGAGTTGAGGAGTTATCTTCATCCCTATGAAAATATTATATGTTGTGAATGTCACCAAGGTGAAGATGATGGGATTATGTTGATCTGTGATCTTTGTGATTCCTCTGCGTATACGTACTGTGTTGGACTCGGGAGGGAAGTTCCTGAAGGAAACTGGTACTGTAAAGGCTGTAGACCTGTTGCACTTGGATCAGCTAGTTCCCAAGCGCATACTACAACTTCTTAAGTCTCTCCAAGTTAGTTTCTTCTTTACATAACTCTTAGATATTGTTTTAACTCGGCTTGTTCTTCTCGGCATGACTTCCTAGTTAGTTTTGCTGAACTCATTGAAAAATGTCAGATTATAGCTCTAGGCACGCATCTACAACTCGTTAACATTATCTAGATTAGTTCCTTTTTACATTGTAATTTGGATTCAACTTCCACTATCTTGTTCAGGTCAAGCCACGTTTGACGAGATTTCCACCTGCTCATTACACACGATATTGGCAGCTTGTGGACTTGAACACAAGAGCAGTGAAGTCCATCTTGTTCCGCCACCAGTAATGTGCCTTCACGATGATATGACACCTTGCAGCAGCAGTAGCAACAACAGCAGCAACAGTCTGATGAAAGGGTGTTGCTATTCATGTTTTGATTCATTTGTAGAAGATGTAGTTAAGATGATTCTGGACACAAGACAACCCCATTGGTTGAGGTTATGACTCCATTAAAAAAAAATCACTGCTTGCTTCAATTTGTTTAGATTTTGTTAGAAATCGATTTTTCCTTTTTTTTTCTCTTTGTTCAGATTCTGAACCTTTAATTTTAGCCATTGTATATGATAAACTGGGGAAGATTCATATTCACGTAAAAAGAATTTGATTTGTTATTATTAGTTCATAATTAGCTTATTATAGGAAGTAGGAAGATTCATATTCACGTAAAAGAATTTGATTTTTTATTATTATTTCACAATTAGATTATAGCAAGTTTTTTTTTTTTTAAATATAGCAATTTGTGCACAAAAAAAATGTTTATACGAAACGAACCAGCGTAGCTTACTGTATCGCTCTAGAGAAACATCCCACATCGGTTAAAAGAAACATACAAAGCTTTGGAGAATGAGTATAAATAGGACAGTCATGAGTACAAGCAAATCACTTACCTGGACGGGGTCAACTCGTGATCAAGAAGACGAGTGGCCTAGGCTAGTGACTTCCATTGCACATACCGGAAGGGTGCTTAGCCTAAGGTCTTCCCAAGTGGAAGAGCCTGCGTCATTATTTGTGGCAGAGGGGGTTTGCGTCCGCGCAGCCCCTATCATTGAAGTCTTAAAGTGTGCTTAACCGGTCTGATTGTTATTAGCTGGTCCGACTGTTTATGCCTGGCTTGATCTTATATAATAAGAGTGTACAAAGGACCACAAATTATTTTCTGATACTAGACATATAAAGTTAAATCATAGAACGCACAAGATGATTCAGCAGAAGAGAGTTTTGAGCCAATATGTGATTGTTGTCTCTTGTTAGTTTATCATAGTTGTCAAATGTCAAGGATATTAAGACTGAAGATCATAAATGCTCGTTGCAGAGAAAAGAAAAGTAATAGATAGAGAAAGTATCTCTGGACAATTGAAAAGGACTAACATACCTCTCAGCGGTATTTACAGATTGGTGTAACCAGAAGCTCAAATCAAACCATTATTCACAAACCAGAAACTCATCCTTGTCTAGCATATACTCACATAGAGTAAAAGACCTTTCCTGTGAATTTGATGTTATCCCAACCACATGAATAAGGAACCACCATGGAAGAGAGAAAGAAATGATATTAGTGACACCATCATTACCCAAATTTACACAGGGATGTATGCAGAGAGCAAGAAACTTTTAGTTAATCGAATCCGAACCGATCAAATATTTGAATGCTGAGACTGAACTGAATAAACTCCAGATTGATTGTGCGGGGTTTTTTTTTTTTTTTTTTGAGACTGAGCTTCTTTTCTTGTAAAGTTAACAGAATCATAAAATATAACAGCATCACAATTTTCCAAAAAAAAAAACAGCATCACAACTTCCAGTACCTATTTTTTACAA